ACTCCGATGACTTTCTCCAGAAGTTCCACCACGCGCTCCTCGAGCTCCACCTCGAAGAAGGTGCTCTTGTCTGCCCTGAGACCGGCCGGAAATTTCCCGTCAATAAGGGGATTCCCAATATGCTTCTTCATGAAGACGAGGTCTGATTGAAAAATTTAAGTCATTTTTTAGGGTTTTGAAAGAAAGAAAAAGCTGGGTTTTAGGGGGCTCATTGGGGGCTTTATATCAGGTGTAATCCATATGGGAGTTTTGAATGCTTGAGAAAGTGTTTATTAGGGTTTGGTTTTGTTGAATAATATTGCGTATTTGTGTTCTTATTCTGTTCAATTATGGTAGTGCAAGTTTTATTATTGCTTCAATTCAATAGGAATAGTTAGTACTTTGTGCCTTTTCAAAGGGTGTTGAGATGGAATGTCTATTGGAATAAGGCTTTGTCAAGTGTAAAATTCATTGGAGATTATTGATTGCCTTCTTCAGAAATTTAAAATTCTGTCAGAGAGTTTGAAGTGCACTAATCTAAATAATAATTCACAAGGTGCAGAGAGATCAATGTGTGCTGCAAACTTTGTGCTTCTTTAATACCCAATTCGAGTTGGGACTGCTCTGCGTGATGAATTCTCCCCAGTGATTAACATAGCAGCCCATAGTTTAGCATTGGATGGGACTGCTCTCCGTTCCCTCATTTATCTTTTTTTTTTTTCTGTTCAATAGTCATATGTATCCGAACACTTATGCTAAACACGGGTATAATTTATTTCACTAGCCAATAAACCCCCCCCCCCCCCTCTTCCCCCACCAAAAAATACACACACACAGAGATTACCAACTATGTTCCTGCTCTCACTGGACTGTCATCAGAAGCAGAAGCAGAAGCTATAGGCATATACCAGATGTCCAGAAAAATGGTAAAGGGTTCACACTTCCCTTCGCTTTTTTCATATAGATATCGCTTCCTACAACAAATCTCATTGCAGAGCTGTTACCAGTTTAAAGACGCAAGTGACTAGATCAATGATTGAACTGAAAATTCAATAAGTGTAGAATAACTTAGAAAGCATTATGGTTTTTTTTCCCCTTGCTTCCTTCTGTTTTCCCATGAAAGGTTATAAATAATTCTTGGTATTATCAATTACACACAAAAACTCAAATTAAACAATATAATCTAATCCCTAAGAGGAACAAAGTACTGACCATGACCTCGCTCCATCTACTGTCTGCATGCATCAACAATTGCTCAACAAGATAGAATCTAATCCTGCACCATCATTCAATACTTCATGCCATCAGAATTGTGGAACATATGACTTCGACCTCGAAACACCTCTGAACCCTGAATGCTTCCCTCATTTTGTTTGACTACTCCTCCGGGGAGTTGTTTCGTAAGGGGGAAGAGGCACACCAAATACCCAATCAAGAACATTCAGGTACTTGGATCGAAAGACATCCCTTTCTATTGCATAGCAGTGCATGATGATTGCAGTGGAAATGCTGAAAATCACCACATCAGCTCTCCTGTAGTTCTTCGATGGAGGCAAATATCCAATGTCAGCCATGCATGTGACAAAGCTCTCAATGGCCCGTGCAAAGCAGTAGAGTGAAATCTCTATCCGCCTGCTCTTCTTCTCAATTGCCAAGGCCAAACCAGTTGGAAACTGCCCACAAACAACAGTTCATCAAATCAAGACCACCCCATTGTTCTTTCTACTTTTAAGGAATATTCAAAATATTCTTTTTACCGTTCCCATTGCCAACATAGGAATGTTGCACCTTTTAAAGATCCTGAAGAGGAAACATGTCCACATCCTATGCACCATAGTACCATCACACAGATTAATTTTCAATTGATTAAAAGCTTTCTGCATGACAAAAAATGAAATAGCAAAAATTGAAGAAGTGGGAAATGTTAGCATGGTTTGTTGGTTGCCAACTTGAAGTATACAAGTTATTTTTTTAAGCATGTAAAGCGGATCTTTCTATGATTATTCCCTCCCCAAGGCGGTGTCTGATTTATGTGCCTTAGGCTGATGAAAATCAAGCATTTATTTTGGCTGGTCAATGGTGTTCTTCTATCTTTAACCACCTCTTTGAATCTCATAGCTCTTTTGCTACTGTTTACGATTTCAGCATTCAAGTTTCTTGAGAAGAACACACCTGTGGGTTGCACAAAAAAAAAAGTGTATTGTCTTGGATATTAATGTGGATAGCTACGTTTCTAGGTTAAATAATAAAGAGAATAATGGGGAATGCATTCTGAAGATATAACGTTCAGAGAACATTCCTCAAAAACTAGCTGGCACGAAAACTCACTTAAGGCATATCAAATTTTTATTTCTTTCAGTATTACATACTCATTAAATTATTTCGGCAAAATTAGTCAAAGACAGCATATGTCATTTATATAGAACCAGATAATTCTTGAGCTGTCCAAAAGAACGTTTTAGAGTAAAGTGATTTCCTCGAAAAAGGTGAAATTCAGAAGGTACTACAAAATACAAATTCCATGGAACTGATGTATAGCATCAGGGCCATGAGTTAACCTGAGAGTTATAATGCAACTCCTTTGGCATGCAAAGAAATGTTGACCATATTGCTTTCTATGTAACACACTCACCAACTTGGTGAACGGCTATGGAATTGACCCAAAGTCCCAAGGTCAAATTGCTATCTAGGACTACCCCAGAAACAGGGGGTTTCAAGATCACCTTGTCCTTTAAGCAGGATTAGTCCCACCTCCAAAGGGGTAAAGAATGCCTCATAAAACAAAGAAAAAGGGGAACAATTCTTACGAATGTATGAGAACATATATACTAAAAGTAGTAACACTAGAATGCAGCAAAATAATGCTTACCAGGCAGATGAACAATACATGGATAAAAATAAGCTTGATCTTGCAGTGCCCAGAACACCTTTCCCCAAAATTGTGTAAGGTCTACACAAGGTAGATCAGGAATAGGAAAGTAAATAATGTCCAAGAGAATCCAATTACTGGAAGAAACTCAATCAACTAGGGAGGAAATAATAAAATATATTACCTCTTCAAGAGTCCTTGACGATGTACAATTAGTGCCGGAATTAAGTAAACAGGAAGATAAACTGGTAATGCTCTCTTGTAGGCTTGAATAAGAAATGAAACAAAATGCAAAGCACATTGTTGATTTCCATGTACCATCTGCATAACATAGATTAAACAAAAACAGGACTATATGATGTATACACAAGAGCAGAAAACAGAAGAGTATGTGACTGAGGAAAAAAATTATATATTTACCAACAATAGCAGTTCTAGTTTACAATAAGCATTAACCATATATAAACCAAAAGAAGATATCAAAAATGAACAGAAAAAATGCAGTCACAGAAAGGAATCCATGATGATGCTCCAATATCAAGTGTCCGACATACTACATATTAGCTACATGACAATTTATGTGAGTGGGAAATATGTTTATGTGACAACCTCATATGAATTAAAGAGTGAGATTCATTTTAGCACGAAAAGTTCATCAGGTAACGTCCATGCAAATCCCTGCACTTTGCATATCATTGCTAAAGAATAGTTCTTAGCAATAAGAAAGCTACCCACATTTAACTTCTAGAAACTTGACTGGCAACATTAAGGTTTTAGTACCCAGAAGATTGCTTTAGTTTTATGCCTAAATGCATTTGCCCAGAACCGATCATCGCAGCGAAATAAGTAGATGGCTTAAAAATTCTGCATGAAGTGAGTCCAATAAAGAAACACCGGTGAATTCATCAAGAAAGGGATTTGACGACTCAAGACAATCAAACAGATGATTGGGATGCATGCATCCAGTCTAAATAGCCTGGGCAAAATTTGAAAGGCTTGTTGATGTTAAACTTTGCATTGCTTATCAATCATAAAATTAGTATCTTAATCAAACATCTGCATCAGCTTCCACTTCTTCCATTTTTTTGACCCAATGGTGAAAAGCATATGCATTAATTCAAATGGCAGTGTCCAACATGGATATCGACTGAAGTACTTTAATTTACCCACTTTCAAACTGCTATATAATTTAATTCGTTTTCTAGGCCACTAAAGGACTAAAACTCTTAAAAATTGTTGCTTTATCAAAGCTCGACCTAAAGTCTGTCTTTGTCTATCCCATTTCTTTTTCTCCCTAAAAGTAATTTCAGCATAATTCCCCATAAACACACATCAAAACCCTTCTCTGTCAACACCATGAAGAAAATAATGTCAGAAGAAATGGTAAAGCCAAGGTGTTAATGCTTAGGGCAGTGGTAATAGTGTCAGAAAAACAACTATAAGATGGTTCAAAGTTTAGAAAAACTGTTTTCTACAAACAATGACAAAGGTTAGACCAGTACCAAGTCCACCACTCCCAACATCCTAAAGTAATCCCTAAAGAATAGTAAAGCCACCCACCTAACATTTCAGCAAGTTACTAAATTCACGATGGATGTGGCAAAGATGGTTGGACTTATGTCCAATTGTCCATATATTAAATCCAAACAAAGTCTTTGTAAAGAGGAAATGAGAAACATATAAGTGTCAGTTCACAAAAATTGGCCTAAAAGACAATAAGCAGCCTTTATTTTTTCTTTCTAAAGTAAGCATGATATTGAGTCATTCTTCAAATTTATTTGGTCATGCATGTTGCACAGATAAGACAAAAGAAATGCATGTTTGCGTCGAAAAAATTGTTGATAAGTTGAACAAACAAGCAATAGATTCAGCAATGCATACCGAGCAGGGGACTTTCATTTCTGGATCCAGTTTAATGTCAACACCGGTGGACTGGTAATACTTCTCTATAGCCTCCAAATTAGTAAACGGCATGCCGCATGCAATCTCCTTCACTCCTTGCAGGATAACAGAATCCTTTGCGCCATGTTTATTGAGAAAGGACTTGTATGAGGGGGGCAAACTATCTTGCTTCAAAATGTAAGCACACCTGGGGAAAAGCATATTTACCCACTTATTTTATATCTTAAGGAACAGAAAACCATCATCATTTAGAGGATATAGTCATCAGGTCATATTCTTGAAGTCAGAATTTCTGGACATTCATCACATAAAGAATTATGGCGGTCTACATTTGTTCAATGTGGAAGAATATAAAGCAAGAGACCAGACACCACCACCACATGGAAGATAATGCTAATTTTAACCACATTGTCAAAGAACTGGAAGCACTATTATTTCAGTTTCACTTTTTGCAACTGTGAGTTTATGAAGCCTTGTTTAGAAAAAGACTTGAGCTTACAAATCAACAAATGAAGATCTGTAATCCAAAATAATTGTCAATAGAACAATATTTTTGGGTTTTTCCACATTTTTTATGACAAGATTTCCCATTTGTGTTTGAAGCAACTCTTATTGTAATACGTTATAGTGTAGCTACAAAAAGTGGTCTGTTTTCCTCAAAATCTCATATCAAACTAATGAAAGATTTGGTTGATCTGTCTAAAAGTTTATGTTTTGAAACAGGGGATAAGAATGTTTACTTTGTGTTCCACTACATGCAAGAATAGATTGTCAGATATTATTGCTAGCAGGTCCTCAATATCACTTAAACTTAGATCCATACCACATCCGCACAATCTTTTTTCCCAATTTGCCAATTTAGTATTTGTTTAACTATAAGTGGAAAGCTCAACACCAAACTTTTCAATCATTGCTATACCACATTTTTCAGCTGTTAAAGAAAAGAAGTGAGAGATGGAGGAAGATGAGAGTGGTGGCTTAGGAAGACTATCACGCACGAATAATATCATCATTGTCATACAACGCTATTAATTTTATACAGCATCACACTGCATAGCATAATTAACATGCAACATTTAATTAGAACGTGAAAAACAAGAACAAATTCAAAATTTAGCAAAAAAAACAAAACATTTCAATATATGGAGCTCAAAACAACATACAGAATTTGAGAAGAAGAGAGACACATAAGGAAAATGTCTCCATGTGCCCAAGTAAGAGGTTTACAAATGCGTCCAAATCTCTTGCTTTTTATTCCACATCGCGATGCCAAGACAGCAGCACGCATGAGAATATAAATGGCCAAGCTGTTATGCTGGGTGTTCAATCCAGTCAATAGCATTGAAGGCCCTGCTATCGCCCCGGCTAACAAAGCCCTCCATTTTGCTGTCCTGAATGTAAAATAACGTTACCAATCAAAGCCCTAATAATCAAATCACTAATTCAAAACCGTTTATCCAATCAGCTGAATGATACATTTCTTCAAAAATAAAAAGAGCTGATCCAACTCGAGTTCTCACTAATTATAGAAATTAACTACGAATTTAAACATAAAAAGAGCTAAAAAAAATTTATAGAGATGCCATGCCTACGGTGTCCTCCCCAAGCAGCTATAATTTCATCCACTGAAACAAATGTACCAGCAAAAGTGCCAAGAAAAAGACCATATCTGAGAGTTTCTTTGATAGCCAAAATCACATCGTAACTACTGGAAACCATTTCTACTTTCCTGAACCAAACAATCAATTTGGAATTAAATAAACACATGCACGCACGCATAAGAGCAAAGTGCGTAGACAATTAGATCTGAAACCAGATAACCAGAGGAAAAAAGAATATGTCTAAATTGGAGGTTATTTACTTTGCAGAGGGAGATAAACGTCTGCGACGCAAGCGAGCAAGGACAGAGAAGAGAGCTAGGCCGCCTTTGAGACCAGCTCCAATGGTGAAACCCTTGACTGAGGCAGCGAAGATTCTCCCAAGCTTATCGTACTCTTGTACTGGAATCGATTCGAAGCTGAGCAAAGAACCAGAAGACGACGACGAAGGAAGATTCGATCTTCTACAATGCGGACAACTCCGATCATGCAATTTGTTATCATCATCACTGTTGTCGACGGAAAAGCAAGTACAACGGCCGTCGACGGCGACTTTCCGGTCGCCGGACGCCGACATGATTCGTGGCTGTTAAGCTTGATCAGAATCTCTGGAGAACAAAAGCTTGGCGGCGAGTTATTCAGAGAGCGGGAGAGAGGGGTCTCTAGTCCGGACTACCTGGTGGGTATTAGAGACGAGTGAACGAGCTACACGATGGTGTAGCGGTTGATGATGACGTGTTTTACTTTGAGCTCGTTTGGGTGAATGAAAATTTTCAGTTGGTTTATTGAAATTAAATGTTTTTCTGGTTTTGTTATGGTCTTAGGTTGCCAAAGTTTCTGTCTATTGTAGTGTTTACGTGACAAAATGTTCTGTGTTGACCAAGTACCACATGGGGTGTACATTTATATATGATTAGTAATGCATTACGTGTATTTTACGTAAATTATTTTAATTTATAAATTTTTTTATTTGAATTGAGGTTTGGCTTGTACAATAAAAATATATGCACACTGAATTCACCATTCTTCTAAGATTACATAAAAATCTTTAGGTTAAAGATTAGGGAAAATTACATCCATAATTCTTGAATTTATCCCTTAATCACTTTGATTTTTATATTTAAAATATTACACATAAAATCCTTAAATTTTGTATGCGCGTAACACATAGACAGACCTCTACTGTTAAAGTCCGTTAGTATATCCGTTTCGTGAGTAAATATTAATTGGAAATGCTATTTATGGACCTTATTTAGGAGTCTAATAATATACAACTATTAGATTAATTGTGGACACTATCTAATATTGGAACTCATAACTAATCAAATGGTTGTTGCATAGGAAATTTTCTGCAACAGATTGAGATAGTGATTCTCTTGATGATGAAACTGTAGCAACCACAAGGTTAAAGAAGGGATTGGGTGAACACTCGTCTTATCCCATTCGAAGCTTAAATCACTCTAAGTTTAGAGGTTCAAGCACAATATATATTTCTTCCAGTTTGGTCTTGCGTACCTTTATTCATTTTTCTAAAGAGTATTTATACTTGAATTAGTAATGAGTGTCAAGACTTGAAGTTTCATCTCAACATTAATGACTTGGACTCTTACTCATGCGTAATGAGGATTCTCCACCTAATTCTTCGAGCCTAGTTGACTTGGGCGATAAGGTAACTGCNCAGCAAAATAATGCTTACCAGGCAGATGAACAATACATGGATAAAAATAAGCTTGATCTTGCAGTGCCCAGAACACCTTTCCCCAAAATTGTGTAAGGTCTACACAAGGTAGATCAGGAATAGGAAAGTAAATAATGTCCAAGAGAATCCAATTACTGGAAGAAACTCAATCAACTAGGGAGGAAATAATAAAATATATTACCTCTTCAAGAGTCCTTGACGATGTACAATTAGTGCCGGAATTAAGTAAACAGGAAGATAAACTGGTAATGCTCTCTTGTAGGCTTGAATAAGAAATGAAACAAAATGCAAAGCACATTGTTGATTTCCATGTACCATCTGCATAACATAGATTAAACAAAAACAGGACTATATGATGTATACACAAGAGCAGAAAACAGAAGAGTATGTGACTGAGGAAAAAAATTATATATTTACCAACAATAGCAGTTCTAGTTTACAATAAGCATTAACCATATATAAACCAAAAGAAGATATCAAAAATGAACAGAAAAAATGCAGTCACAGAAAGGAATCCATGATGATGCTCCAATATCAAGTGTCCGACATACTACATATTAGCTACATGACAATTTATGTGAGTGGGAAATATGTTTATGTGACAACCTCATATGAATTAAAGAGTGAGATTCATTTTAGCACGAAAAGTTCATCAGGTAACGTCCATGCAAATCCCTGCACTTTGCATATCATTGCTAAAGAATAGTTCTTAGCAATAAGAAAGCTACCCACATTTAACTTCTAGAAACTTGACTGGCAACATTAAGGTTTTAGTACCCAGAAGATTGCTTTAGTTTTATGCCTAAATGCATTTGCCCAGAACCGATCATCGCAGCGAAATAAGTAGATGGCTTAAAAATTCTGCATGAAGTGAATCCAATAAAGAAACACCGGTGAATTCATCAAGAAAGGGATTTGACGACTCAAGACAATCAAACAGATGATTGGGATGCATGCATCCAGTCTAAATAGCCTGGGCAAAATTTGAAAGGCTTGTTGATGTTAAACTTTGCATTGCTTATCAATCATAAAATTAGTATCTTAATCAAACATCTGCATCAGCTTCCACTTCTTCCATTTTTTTGACCCAATGGTGAAAAGCATATGCATTAATTCAAATGGCAGTGTCCAACATGGATATCGACTGAAGTACTTTAATTTACCCACTTTCAAACTGCTATATAATTTAATTCGTTTTCTAGGCCACTAAAGGACTAAAACTCTTAAAAATTGTTGCTTTATCAAAGCTCGACCTAAAGTCTGTCTTTGTCTATCCCATTTCTTTTTCTCCCTAAAAGTAATTTCAGCATAATTCCCCATAAACACACATCAAAACCCTTCTCTGTCAACACCATGAAGAAAATAATGTCAGAAGAAATGGTAAAGCCAAGGTGTTAATGCTTAGGGCAGTGGTAATAGTGTCAGAAAAACAACTATAAGATGGTTCAAAGTTTAGAAAAACTGTTTTCTACAAACAATGACAAAGGTTAGACCAGTACGAAGTCCACCACTCCCAACATCCTAAAGTAATCCCTAAAGAATAGTAAAGCCACCCACCTAACATTTCAGCAAGTTACTAAATTCACGATGGATGTGGCAAAGATGGTTGGACTTATGTCCAATTGTCCATATATTAAATCCAAACAAAGTCTTTGTAAAGAGGAAATGAGAAACATATAAGTGTCAGTTCACAAAACTTGGCCTAAAAGACAATAAGCAGCCTTTATTTTTTCTTTCTAAAGTAAGCATGATATTGAGTCATTCTTCAAATTTATTTGGTCATGCATGTTGCACAGATAAGACAAAAGAAATGCATGTTTGCGTTGAAAAAATTGTTGATAAGTTGAACAAACAAGCAATAGATTCAGCAATGCATACCGAGCAGGGGACTTTCATTTCTGGATCCAGTTTAATGTCAACACCGGTGGACTGGTAATACTTCTCTATAGCCTCCAAATTAGTAAACGGCATGCCGCATGCAATCTCCTTCACTCCTTGCAGGATAACAGAATCCTTTGCGCCATGTTTATTGAGAAAGGACTTGTATGAGGGGGGCAAACTATCTTGCTTCAAAATGTAAGCACACCTGGGGAAAAGCATATTTACCCACTTATTTTACATCTTAAGGAACAGAAAACCATCATCATTTAGAGGATATAGTCATCAGGTCATATTCTTGAAGTCAGAATTTCTGGACATTCATCACATAAAGAATTATGGCGGTCTACATTTGTTCAATGTGGAAGAATATAAAGCAAGAGACCAGACACCACCACCACATGGAAGATAATGCTAATTTTAACCACATTGTCAAAGAACTGGAAGCACTATTATTTCAGTTTCACTTTTTGCAACTGTGAGTTTATGAAGCCTTGTTTAGAAAAAGACTTGAGCTTACAAATCAACAAATGAAGATCTGTAATCCAAAATAATTGTCAATAGAACAATATTTTTGGGTTTTTCCACATTTTTTATGACAAGATTTCCCATTTGTGTTTGAAGCAACTCTTATTGTAATACGTTATAGTGTAGCTACAAAAAGTGGTCTGTTTTCCTCAAAATCTCATATCAAACTAATGAAAGATTTGGTTGATCTGTCTAAAAGTTTATGTTTTGAAACAGGGGATAAGAATGTTTACTTTGTGTTCCACTACATGCAAGAATAGATTGTCAGATATTATTGCTAGCAGGTCCTCAATATCACTTAAACTTAGATCCATACCACATCCGCACAATCTTTTTTCCCAATTTGCCAATTTAGTATTTGTTTAACTATAAGTGGAAAGCTCAACACCAAACTTTTCAATCATTGCTATACCACATTTTTCAGCTGTTAAAGAAAAGAAGTGAGAGATGGAGGAAGATGAGAGTGGTGGCTTAGGAAGACTATCACGCACGAATAATATCATCATTGTCATACAACGCTATTAATTTTATACAGCATCACACTGCATAGCATAATTAACATGCAACATTTAATTAGAACGTGAAAAACAAGAACAAATTCAAAATTTAGCAAAAAAAACAAAACATTTCAATATATGGAGCTCAAAACAACATACAGAATTTGAGAAGAAGAGAGACACATAAGGAAAATGTCTCCATGTGCCCAAGTAAGAGGTTTACAAATGCGTCCAAATCTCTTGCTTTTTATTCCACATCGCGATGCCAAGACAGCAGCACGCATGAGAATATAAATGGCCAAGCTGTTATGCTGGGTGTTCAATCCAGTCAATAGCATTGAAGGCCCTGCTATCGCCCCGGCTAACAAAGCCCTCCATTTTGCTGTCCTGAATGTAAAATAACGTTACCAATCAAAGCCCTAATAATCAAATCACTAATTCAAAACCGTTTATCCAATCAGCTGAATGATACATTTCTTCAAAAATAAAAAGAGCTGATCCAACTCGAGTTCTCACTAATTATAGAAATTAACTACGAATTTAAACATAAAAAGAGCTAAAAAAAATTTATAGAGATGCCATGCCTACGGTGTCCTCCCCAAGCAGCTATAATTTCATCCACTGAAACAAATGTACCAGCAAAAGTGCCAAGAAAAAGACCATATCTGAGAGTTTCTTTGATAGCCAAAATCACATCGTAACTACTGGAAACCATTTCTACTTTCCTGAACCAAACAATCAATTTGGAATTAAATAAACACATGCACGCACGCATAAGAGCAAAGTGCGTAGACAATTAGATCTGAAACCAGATAACCAGAGGAAAAAAGAATATGTCTAAATTGGAGGTTATTTACTTTGCAGAGGGAGATAAACGTCTGCGACGCAAGCGAGCAAGGACAGAGAAGAGAGCTAGGCCGCCTTTGAGACCAGCTCCAATGGTGAAACCCTTGACTGAGGCAGCGAAGATTCTCCCAAGCTTATCGTACTCTTGTACTGGAATCGATTCGAAGCTGAGCAAAGAACCAGAAGACGACGACGAAGGAAGATTCGATCTTCTACAATGCGGACAACTCCGATCATGCAATTTGTTATCATCATCACTGTTGTCGACGGAAAAGCAAGTACAACGGCCGTCGACGGCGACTTTCCGGTCGCCGGACGCCGACATGATTCGTGGCTGTTAAGCTTGATCAGAATCTCTGGAGAACAAAAGCTTGGCGGCGAGTTATTCAGAGAGCGGGAGAGAGGGGTCTCTAGTCCGGACTACCTGGTGGGTATTAGAGACGAGTGAACGAGCTACACGATGGTGTAGCGGTTGATGATGACGTGTTTTACTTTGAGCTCGTTTGGGTGAATGAAAATTTTCAGTTGGTTTATTGAAATTAAATGTTTTTCTGGTTTTGTTATGGTCTTAGGTTGCCAAAGTTTCTGTCTATTGTAGTGTTTACGTGACAAAATGTTCTGTGTTGACCAAGTACCACATGGGGTGTACATTTATATATGATTAGTAATGCATTACGTGTATTTTACGTAAATTATTTTAATTTATAAATTTTTTTATTTGAATTGAGGTTTGGCTTGTACAATAAAAATATATGCACACTGAATTCACCATTCTTCTAAGATTACATAAAAATCTTTAGGTTAAAGATTAGGGAAAATTACATCCATAATTCTTGAATTTATCCCTTAATCACTTTGATTTTTATATTTAAAATATTACACATAAAATCCTTAAATTTTGTATGCGCGTAACACATAGACAGACCTCTACTGTTAAAGTCCGTTAGTATATCCGTTTCGTGAGTAAATATTAATTGGAAATGCTATTTATGGACCTTATTTAGGAGTCTAATAATATACAACTATTAGATTAATTGTGGACACTATCTAATATTGGAACTCATAACTAATCAAATGGTTGTTGCATAGGAAATTTTCTGCAACAGATTGAGATAGTGATTCTCTTGATGATGAAACTGTAGCAACCACAAGGTTAAAGAAGGGATTGGGTGAACACTCGTCTTATCCCATTCGAAGCTTAAATCACTCTAAGTTTAGAGGTTCAAGCACAATATATATTTCTTCCAGTTTGGTCTTGCGTACCTTTATTCATTTTTCTAAAGAGTATTTATACTTGAATTAGTAATGAGTGTCAAGACTTGAAGTTTCATCTCAACATTAATGACTTGGACTCTTACTCATGCGTAATGAGGATTCTCCACCTAATTCTTCGAGCCTAGTTGACTTGGGCGATAAGGTAACTGCTCAGGACATGCCGAGAACTTATGGCTCTATTCCTCGGTCATTCAAGTCTTCTGACCGGCACTTTGACACCTAATCTCTAGTTTTCAATGTTCGGGGGAACTGTACTCCCGATGAGCGTCAAGGAGATATATTCGGCATAATAGTCATTAATATTTTGCAATAGTGACTGTTGTTTTGGGTTTTTAGGATGCAGTGGCTCATTAATAGCCCTGTCTTAGTCACTCACGTCTCCATATATGAGATGTCAAGTCGTCTTAAATGTTGGCGTCAGTTTGTGTATTCAGCTCCTCCGAGCCATTATTCCTCAGCACCACTTCTCAACCCTTTTTGAGTTTTGTAACAACTATGTCATTGCACGTGTCAATTTGAGGGCCGCTGAGCCGTTTAAAGTCTCATCAGTTATATTGAAACTACATCATTAGATCTCCAAATAAAGTCTCTGTAGCATTATTCAATATCGAAATGCAACAGAGATACATGTCATCACTAATGATATGATATCACTAACCAATAATAAAATTCTAAATGGAAAAGGTAAATCCCACTTGAGTTACATGGCAAATGGGGTGGAATAGTAGTATTGATTTTTTTGGGGTCAATTTACTTATTTGTTTTAGTATTATTAGTTGGTAATAACACATTACTTTGTCATGTGGTATCACCGTTGTAATGAATATTTTCTCCAATTTCACATAAATCTCTACCGTTAGTGTTTATTAATATATCCGTTAGTAAACTACATCTAGACTCCTAAAATTTAAAGTGTGTGCGTTCTTAGAAATAAAATACTCAAAGGTATATTTGTTTGAAGTATTTTATAAGGAAATGTATTCCTTGCATTTGTAATACCAATGGATATTAGTACTGGTAATAAAAAGTATTTCAATATCATCTCATGTTTGTTTATTCAATAGGTACTATGATGAGTCTCACAAACAATCATCTATTCTATCATATCTTATATAACAAATATATTATTTTACTCTTAACATCATCTATTCCATTTAAAATAATTTTAAAAAAAATTAAAAAATATCGGTGACACTGTACGCTTAAACATAATACAAGAAAAAAAATTCAAAATAATTTAAAAAAAAAAAAAATTTTAAAAATCAGTAACACGGTACGCTTAAACATAATACAAGAAAATAATTTAAAATAATTTAAAAAAAACTGAAAAAAATCGTTAACACCGTACGCTTAAACATAATATAATACAAGAAAAAAAATTTAAAATAATTTTTTTTTAAAAAATTATAAAAAAAATCATTAATATCGTACGCTTAAACATAATACAAGAAAAAATTCAAAATAATTTTTTAAAAAAATCAGTAACATCGTACGTTTAAACATAATATAAGGAAAAATTTTAAAATAAATATTTTATATGTGAACTCTTCACATAGGAGGGCATTTGTGTCATTTTATTCTTTTATACCGTCTTTTCATTTGTACCAAGAAAATAATATCATCTAGTAGGTGGCATTCATTAATACCATATTGAACGCATTTAAGTCGTTATTCATACTGGGTTGATATTATGATCCTAAAAATAGTACTGATGGTAGAATGCCAAACAAATAAAGTATAAGATGGGTCTTACGTACTATTTACCNCAAAATGTAAGCACACCTGGGGAAAAGCATATTTACCCACTTATTTTATATCTTAAGGAACAGAAAACCATCATCATTTAGAGGATATAGTCATCAGGTCATATTCTTGAAGTCAGAATTTCTGGACATTCATCACATAAAGAATTATGGCGGTCTACATTTGTTCAATGTGGAAGAATATAAAGCAAGAGACCAGACACCACCACCACATGGAAGATAATGCTAATTTTAACCACATTGTCAAAGAACTGGAAGCACTATTATTTCAGTTTCACTTTTTGCAACTGTGANGTTCAATGTGGAAGAATATAAAGCAAGAGACCAGACACCACCACCACATGGAAGATCATGCTAATTTTAACCACATTGTCAAAGAACTGGAAGCACTATTATTTCAGTTTCACTTTTTGCAACTGTAAGTTTATGAAGCCTTGTTTAGAAAAAGACTTGAGCTTACAAATCAACAAATGAAGATCTGTAATCCAAAATAATTGTCAATAGAACAATATTTTTGGGTTTTTCCACATTTTTTATGACAAGATTTCCCATTTGTGTTTGAAGCAACTCTTATTGTAATACGTTATAGTGTAGCTACAAAAAGTGGTCTGTTTTCCTCAAAATCTCATATCAAACTAATGAAAGATTTGGTTGATCTGTCTAAAAGTTTATGTTTTGAAACAGGGGATAAGAATGTTTACTTTGTGTTCCACTACATGCAAGAATAGATTGTCAGATATTATTGCTAGCAGGTCCTCAATATCACTTAAACTTAGATCCATACCACATCCGCACAATCTTTTTTCCCAATTTGCCAATTTAGTATTTGTTTAACTATAAGTGGAAAGCTCAACACCAAACTTTTCAATCATTGCTATACCACATTTTTCAGCTGTTAAAGAAAAGAAGTGAGAGATGGAGGAAGATGAGAGTGGTGGCTTAGGAAGACTATCACGCACGAATAATATCATCATTGTCATACAACGCTATTAATTTTATACAGCATCACACTGCATAGCATAATTAACATGCAACATTTAATTAGAACGTGAAAAACAAGAACAAATTCAAAATTTAGCAAAAAAAACAAAACATTTCAATATATGGAGCTCAAAACAACATACAGAATTTGAGAAGAAGAGAGACACATAAGGAAAATGTCTCCATGTGCCCAAGTAAGAGGTTTACAAATGCGTCCAAATCTCTTGCTTTTTATTCCACATCGCGATGCCAAGACAGCAGCACGCATGAGAATATAAATGGCCAAGCTGTTATGCTGGGTGTTCAATCCAGTCAATAGCATTGAAGGCCCTGCTATCGCCCCGGCTAACAAAGCCCTCCATTTTGCTGTCCTGAATGTAAAATAACGTTACCAATCAAAGCCCTAATAATCAAATCACTAATTCAAAACCGTTTATCCAATCAGCTGAATGATACATTTCTTCAAAAATAAAAAGAGCTGATCCAACTCGAGTTCTCACTAATTATAGAAATTAACTACGAATTTAAACATAAAAAGAGCTAAAAAAAATTTATAGAGATGCCATGCCTACGGTGTCCTCCCCAAGCAGCTATAATTTCATCCACTGAAACAAATGTACCAGCAAAAGTGCCAAGAAAAAGACCATATCTGAGAGTTTCTTTGATAGCCAAAATCACATCGTAACTACTGGAAACCATTTCTACTTTCCTGAACCAAACAATCAATTTGGAATTAAATAAACACATGCACGCACGCATAAGAGCAAAGTGCGTAGACAATTAGATCTGAAACCAGATAACCAGAGGAAAAAAGAATATGTCTAAATTGGAGGTTATTTACTTTGCAGAGGGAGATAAACGTCTGCGACGCAAGCGAGCAAGGACAGAGAAGAGAGCTAGGCCGCCTTTGAGACCAGCTCCAATGGTGAAACCCTTGACTGAGGCAGCGAAGATTCTCCCAAGCTTATCGTACTCTTGTACTGGAATCGATTCGAAGCTGAGCAAAGAACCAGAAGACGACGACGAAGGAAGATTCGATCTTCTACAATGCGGACAACTCCGATCATGCAATTTGTTATCATCATCACTGTTGTCGACGGAAAAGCAAGTACAACGGCCGTCGACGGCGACTTTCCGGTCGCCGGACGCCGACATGATTCGTGGCTGTTAAGCTTGATCAGAATCTCTGGAGAACAAAAGCTTGGCGGCGAGTTATTCAGAGAGCGGGAGAGAGGGGTCTCTAGTCCGGACTACCTGGTGGGTATTAGAGACGAGTGAACGAGCTACACGATGGTGTAGCGGTTGATGATGACGTGTTTTACTTTGAGCTCGTTTGGGTGAATGAAAATTTTCAGTTGGTTTATTGAAATTAAATGTTTTTCTGGTTTTGTTATGGTCTTAGGTTGCCAAAGTTTCTGTCTATTGTAGTGTTTACGTGACAAAATGTTCTGTGTTGACCAAGTACCACATGGGGTGTACATTTATATATGATTAGTAATGCATTACGTGTATTTTACGTAAATTATTTTAATTTATAAATTTTTTTATTTGAATTGAGGTTTGGCTTGTACAATAAAAATATATGCACACTGAATTCACCATTCTTCTAAGATTACATAAAAATCTTTAGGTTAAAGATTAGGGAAAATTACATCCATAATTCTTGAATTTATCCCTTAATCACTTTGATTTTTATATTTAAAATATTACACATAAAATCCTTAAATTTTGTATGCGCGTAACACATAGACAGACCTCTACTGTTAAAGTCCGTTAGTATATCCGTTTCGTGAGTAAATATTAATTGGAAATGCTATTTATGGACCTTATTTAGGAGTCTAATAATATACAACTATTAGATTAATTGTGGACACTATCTAATATTGGAACTCATAACTAATCAAATGGTTGTTGCATAGGAAATTTTCTGCAACAGATTGAGATAGTGATTCTCTTGATGATGAAACTGTAGCAACCACAAGGTTAAAGAAGGGATTGGGTGAACACTCGTCTTATCCCATTCGAAGCTTAAATCACTCTAAGTTTAGAGGTTCAAGCACAATATATATTTCTTCCAGTTTGGTCTTGCGTACCTTTATTCATTTTTCTAAAGAGTATTTATACTTGAATTAGTAATGAGTGTCAAGACTTGAAGTTTCATCTCAACATTAATGACTTGGACTCTTACTCATGCGTAATGAGGATTCTCCACCTAATTCTTCGAGCCTAGTTGACTTGGGCGATAAGGTAACTGCTCAGGACATGCCGAGAACTTATGGCTCTATTCCTCGGTCATTCAAGTCTTCTGACCGGCACTTTGACACCTAATCTCTAGTTTTCAATGTTCGGGGGAACTGTACTCCCGATGAGCGTCAAGGAGATATATTCGGCATAATAGTCATTAATATTTTGCAATAGTGACTGTTGTTTTGGGTTTTTAGGATGCAGTGGCTCATTAATAGCCCTGTCTTAGTCACTCACGTCTCCATATATGAGATGTCAAGTCGTCTTAAATGTTGGCGTCAGTTTGTGTATTCAGCTCCTCCGAGCCATTATTCCTCAGCACCACTTCTCAACCCTTTTTGAGTTTTGTAACAACTATGTCATTGCACGTGTCAATTTGAGGGCCGCTGAGCCGTTTAAAGTCTCATCAGTTATATTGAAACTACATCATTAGATCTCCAAATAAAGTCTCTGTAGCATTATTCAATATCGAAATGCAACAGAGATACATGTCATCACTAATGATATGATATCACTAACCAATAATAAAATTCTAAATGGAAAAGGTAAATCCCACTTGAGTTACATGGCAAATGGGGTGGAATAGTAGTATTGATTTTTGTGGGGTCAATTTACTTATTTGTTTTAGTATTATTAGTTGGTAATAACACATTACTTTGTCATGTGGTATCACCGTTGTAATGAATATTTTCTCCAATTTCACATAAATCTCTACCGTTAGTGTTTATTAATATATCCGTTAGTAAACTACATCTAGACTCCTAAAATTTAAAGTGTGTGCGTTCTTAGAAATAAAATACTCAAAGGTATATTTGTTTGAAGTATTTTATAAGGAAATGTATTCCTTGCATTTGTAATACCAATGGATATTAGTACTGGTAATAAAAAGTATTTCAATATCATCTCATGTTTGTTTATTCAATAGGTACTATGATGAGTCTCACAAACAATCATCTATTCTATCATATCTTATATAACAAATATATTATTTTACTCTTAACATCATCTATTCCATTTAAAATAATTTTAAAAAAAATTAAAAAATATCGGTGACACTGTACGCTTAAACATAATACAAGAAAAAAAATTCAAAATAATTTAAAAAAAAAAAAAATTTTAAAAATCAGTAACACGGTACGCTTAAACATAATACAAGAAAATAATTTAAAATAATTTAAAAAAAACTGAAAAAAATCGTTAACACCGTACGCTTAAACATAATATAATACAAGAAAAAAAATTTAAAATAATTTTTTTTTAAAAAATTATAAAAAAAATCATTAATATCGTACGCTTAAACATAATACAAGAAAAAATTCAAAATAATTTTTTAAAAAAATCAGTAACATCGTACGTTTAAACATAATATAAGGAAAAATTTTAAAATAAATATTTTATATGTGAACTCTTCACATAGGAGGGCATTTGTGTCATTTTATTCTTTTATACCGTCTTTTCATTTGTACCAAGAAAATAATATCATCTAGTAGGTGGCATTCATTAATACCATATTGAACGCATTTAAGTCGTTATTCATACTGGGTTGATATTATGATCCTAAAAATAGTACTGATGGTAGAATGCCAAACAAATAAAGTATAAGATGGGTCTTACGTACTATTTACCTAATCTCAACTCCTTGTACCACCCTTATTCTCCAACCAAACATGCCTCAATTATATATAGAATGTCAAATATTTTAATTTTTACTATCAAAATGCATGTTCTATCATTATTTGAAATAAAATAAAAAATATGATTTTTTCTTTAAAAAATTATAATTAATATTGTTGATGTCAAAATTTAAACGACCTCACGTTAGTTCAAAAAGGATTTACGGGGATCGACTCTCCGATTCTTAAGTTAATAAGTGATTCAAAAGTATAAACTACCTTTAAAAGGTAAAAGTGACCTGAAACATCAATGTAGCTTTATTTATAAGAATTTCAACAGNGAGTTTATGAAGCCTTGTTTAGAAAAAGACTTGAGCTTACAAATCAACAAATGAAGATCTGTAATCCAAAATAATTGTCAATAGAACAATATTTTTGGGTTTTTCCACATTTTTTATGACAAGATTTCCCATTTGTGTTTGAAGCAACTCTTATTGTAATACGTTATAGTGTAGCTACAAAAAGTGGTCTGTTTTCCTCAAAATCTCATATCAAACTAATGAAAGATTTGGTTGATCTGTCTAAAAGTTTATGTTTTGAAACAGGGGATAAGAATGTTTACTTTGTGTTCCACTACATGCAAGAATAGATTGTCAGATATTATTGCTAGCAGGTCCTCAATATCACTTAAACTTAGATCCATACCACATCCGCACAATCTTTTTTCCCAATTTGCCAATTTAGTATTTGTTTAACTATAAGTGGAAAGCTCAACACCAAACTTTTCAATCATTGCTATACCACATTTTTCAGCTGTTAAAGAAAAGAAGTGAGAGATGGAGGAAGATGAGAGTGGTGGCTTAGGAAGACTATCACGCACGAATAATATCATCATTGTCATACAACGCTATTAATTTTATACAGCATCACACTGCATAGCATAATTAACATGCAACATTTAATTAGAACGTGAAAAACAAGAACAAATTCAAAATTTAGCAAAAAAAACAAAACATTTCAATATATGGAGCTCAAAACAACATACAGAATTTGAGAAGAAGAGAGACACATAAGGAAAATGTCTCCATGTGCCCAAGTAAGAGGTTTACAAATGCGTCCAAATCTCTTGCTTTTTATTCCACATCGCGATGCCAAGACAGCAGCACGCATGAGAATATAAATGGCCAAGCTGTTATGCTGGGTGTTCAATCCAGTCAATAGCATTGAAGGCCCTGCTATCGCCCCGGCTAACAAAGCCCTCCATTTTGCTGTCCTGAATGTAAAATAACGTTACCAATCAAAGCCCTAATAATCAAATCACTAATTCAAAACCGTTTATCCAATCAGCTGAATGATACATTTCTTCAAAAATAAAAAGAGCTGATCCAACTCGAGTTCTCACTAATTATAGAAATTAACTACGAATTTAAACATAAAAAGAGCTAAAAAAAATTTATAGAGATGCCATGCCTACGGTGTCCTCCCCAAGCAGCTATAATTTCATCCACTGAAACAAATGTACCAGCAAAAGTGCCAAGAAAAAGACCATATCTGAGAGTTTCTTTGATAGCCAAAATCACATCGTAACTACTGGAAACCATTTCTACTTTCCTGAACCAAACAATCAATTTGGAATTAAATAAACACATGCACGCACGCATAAGAGCAAAGTGCGTAGACAATTAGATCTGAAACCAGATAACCAGAGGAAAAAAGAATATGTCTAAATTGGAGGTTATTTACTTTGCAGAGGGAGATAAACGTCTGCGACGCAAGCGAGCAAGGACAGAGAAGAGAGCTAGGCCGCCTTTGAGACCAGCTCCAATGGTGAAACCCTTGACTGAGGCAGCGAAGATTCTCCCAAGCTTATCGTACTCTTGTACTGGAATCGATTCGAAGCTGAGCAAAGAACCAGAAGACGACGACGAAGGAAGATTCGATCTTCTACAATGCGGACAACTCCGATCATGCAATTTGTTATCATCATCACTGTTGTCGACGGAAAAGCAAGTACAACGGCCGTCGACGGCGACTTTCCGGTCGCCGGACGCCGACATGATTCGTGGCTGTTAAGCTTGATCAGAATCTCTGGAGAACAAAAGCTTGGCGGCGAGTTATTCAGAGAGCGGGAGAGAGGGGTCTCTAGTCCGGACTACCTGGTGGGTATTAGAGACGAGTGAACGAGCTACACGATGGTGTAGCGGTTGACGATGACGTGTTTTACTTTGAGCTCGTTTGGGTGAATGAAATTTTTCAGTTGGTTTATTGAAATTAAATGTTTTTCTGGTTTTGTTATGG